ACAACGGATTAACACCTATAATACAGTTTGATTAGAAGGACAGTTTGAATTGGTCGTAAGTACTATAGTTATTTTCTTAAATGTAAACGTTGGTTTTTGGTACTGCTACTTTTCCTTTGAACCGGTGGTAGCAGTAAGAACCATTTTTACGTACTGTACAAGCACATCACTATTTACAACTAGCCTATAGTTATCGTTAGTGCTGCACCTTATTTCTTATTAAATTTAATTGATGTCTTACTGTATAATTTTTGCGTTTTCTGTCTGGACTCCAAAATGTTAGTTTATGCTATGAAAATGATAAAACATCATTGAAAGATATTTTTAGCAAACCATCATGATTTTTTAAAGCTTGGCGTTGTTAACGTATAAGTGTTTTGTGGACTGTGTATTTATTTTCTTATTTATATATTTGCCAACGGATTTAGGCCCCCAATTTTTCAGTTTGATTAGGCCTAAAAACGATTATCATAAAATTTGATGACACTATAAAAACTTTCAAATAATTGTTTAGTTTATAATGTTAAAGCGTAAGAAATCCCCTAATTCAATTCTGTATTTGTGTGTGTATGCTGTCTGTTGGTAACGCATTAATGTCCTTATTTCTCAGTGTTTCGTGGAAAAGACAACATGTTTTTAAGCATTAACATTTAGCACCTTTGTTAATGAAAATTTTAACCTGAATAAAGTGTGCAGTAGTGAGGTTGAGGAAGTATTTTAACTACTTTTAACCAGTGTGAAAAGTAACTTTCAATTACAGGCCTACCTTAGGGCTATGCCTCATATATATCTATAAAGCAATTCCTTTTATCATTAGATATAAAATATGGACTAACACGATCGGGTGACATATAATTGTGAAGCATTCGTTTTGGCTTTGAAACTGTCAGATATTGTATTTGCGAAGGTTTATATATGTATTCCTATACAGTAATAGTTTTGCCAGCATATCAGGAAATATTCATATGCAAACCAACTCCTGTTCTGAATATAAGAAGGTTTCAACTTGCTACAAGATTCCCGTACGTAGAACGGGCAAACAGCTAATTTAAGTAAATAATGTTTTCATTCAGGCTAGTAAGTGACATCATTATTTTAAATTTATAATCCTTACCCTCTCTGTTCTAATATTCGTGCAGTATTTAATATGTTTCAACCAGCTGTGTGGAATTGTGAAATCAAAATTCATTTGACAGTTCTGCTTGTTTACATTTTTAATCTTTGTAGGTTTGTTCTTTGTTACTATGGATACCATCAATTAATATTTACTTTTAAATCACTCACCTCAAATTTTTGAAAGCCCACGGGACAGAGCCCTAGGGCAATATTGAAGCGGGAATAGTTCTTTATGTATCCTCAGAGCTGTAGCTTCATTTGTGTGCGATTTGAGCCCAGTCGGTTCGGTAGTTTTTGAGATTATCTCATACAAACACACACACACACACACAGACACCACCTCTTCTTTAACAATAGTATAGATAATTTTAAACAAACACCTCACTCCGTCATGTCAGCAGGAATAGAAAATAGCAGGAGGCCTAATAATAATGTTAACATAATATTTACAAGAACTTTCAGTCTTGTTATAAAAATTTTGATGTAGATACAAACATTTTGTATGTAAAATATAACGTCAATAGTTATTATTGAGTGGTATCAAGTTGATTCACTATTCCGTAGATACCGGTATAGTAAGTAATCTATATATATAAAGCTCAAATACCCATACTACTCATTCACCAAATACCAAATACTCATTATTATTCGTGTGTGTAGGTTATATTATAATTTTCGAGTAAAGTTTGTGAGTCATGGAAATCAATGGTAAATGGTCATGGAAAGTCATGGAAATTAATGACAAATTTTTTGTGGACACCCTGGGTTCTCTTAAACGAATACGAGAGAAATTATATGTTCATGCTGCGCTGAAACGAAACAATCGCTACGAATTTCTCGGTAAAAACCTCTTGGTAAGAACCTCTCGCTAAGCAAAAATACAATCGAAACGTCTCGAGAGGTTCAAACAATCGAAACTTTTTGATTGTAACATCTCGCAATCCAGCATCACTAGTGTCTCAGTTTCCTCGTCAGGTCAATTTTTTAACTTTTTAATTATAAAATAAATGTTTTTATTGTAGGCTAAAATTAACATTTTAATAATATAAAATTATTTTTTTAAATTTTTAATTAGGCTATATAAAATGAAACTGTCATACCTAACCCAACCTAGACATCCAAATTTGCTGATAATCTATATATATAAAAAACAAGATAAAAATCAAATGAAGGATTACTATAATAAAAAAAAACAGTTCTGTTCATAAAATGAAGTTATTTAAATGCTTAAAATTCCATCAAAAGATGTACAGTTAAGAAGTAATCACATTCTAAGCTAAATCTTTGACAAAAAGTTAATGTCACCGGTGGGATTCGATTTGGATACCGGTACTGTAGGTACCTCATGGACATCAGTTGAATACGCTAACCACTACGCCACGACCACCGATGGCTTCACTTCGTATCGTTGCGGTAATGGTGTTCACTCAAGAGAAGAGTGACGTCACGCCCCCACTCCTTCGCTCATCCCGAACCAGTCTCTAAAACCAACTAACGCTATTGCCGCCAGGCTTTCCACTGTTGTGTTCCAAAGTTGCAAATTTTTCCATTATGGTCGGGGCGTCAAATCAAGGGACAGACTTATTTTGTCATGGTAGTCAGCTCTCAATGAAAACAAAATTATTATATGCTCCTTGTTTGTAAGTTTAGTAACTATTGATAACATAAAAATATGGCATTATTTATTTTGGCATGAATAAGTTAATTAGGCTAGTCCAAAAATAGTGTCAAAGTTGAAAAATCTAAGCTGATAGTCGTGAATTTCAAGACTTAAAAAATACAAAAAAATACCTAGAACCTATTTAAAAGCAAATAAATATTTGTAACATGTTGACCCCGTCCCAAAAAATATTAAAACACTTTAATATACTACAAATACAGTATCTTCAAAATAATAGGCCAGGAACATTTTCACTCGCATACAGTTTAAAACATTTTTTTCTGTAACCTTTAATAATTGTACAACAATGCTTCAATATACAAAACTATTTGTGTTTTAAGGTTTACTTGATGGCTTTAAAAATTGGGCATTTCTTTTTTAAGAAAAAAAATTGATACTAAAACTAAATTATTGAAAGTTATTAACTCCACAACACCCCTTTTTCCAATACCCGATCATGCTGATTCCAGTTGTGTACACATTCATTCTGAATTTCATCAAAATAGAGTTATTGTGTTCATGGACACATATAGCCAATTTATTCATACTAGTGGTCGTCCAGTGGTCAAAAACTCAACCAAAAATATCGTACAGGCTTCTCTATTTTTACTCTACTCTGTAATAAAACATGTAATTTCTTCCAATTGTTTTGATTTTCTGTTTATATTTTGTTGTTATTTCGTCACCAGCATGGCAACCCATAAAGCCCATTTATAATTTTTTTAAATTTAAAATTCATTTTTTGTGCTTATTTTTTAGCCCATTTTAATTTATAAAGGGATTTTGCACATCTACAGTATAATATCTTTCCAACAGTATGTGTAGATTTTCCCAGCGATGCAAACGAGCTGAGAAAAAAGGTTTTAACACGTTCGCTGCTACGGATGTTCCGGAATATCAAACGGGCCACGGCGCCAGGAGCTAGGGCTAGGAACGTTCCGGAACGTCGCCGTTCATCGATGTTTAACGTTACCATGGATCAGCCAGCTTGTCACGAGCGTCCTATATTTCTTTGCAGCTCGTGGGGACTTTTCTGACAATAAAAAATATAGTTTCCCAAAATCACTAAAAGGGTCTTTTAGAACAGGGCTTTGTCGCACCTCTTTCCTGCTATATAGCGACACTACTTTACCGACTGCAACCTGGGTAGTGCTGCTATCTATCGGAATCACTTAGTACTATGTCCAAAGCCAGTTTTATTGCAGAACATTGCCATCCAGTACAACTACTGTTGTTTTTACTGTAATTCAGTGTATCGGCAGCAATGTTTATGCAGCGGCGAGCGTTAGTTCAGCTCCTGGCGCCGTCCCGGCATCTAGCGGTCAGCAGCGAACGTGTTAAAGAAACATGCTTGCCTGTTAATAAATAGGTAACTTATTTACAGTATATAGAAATTTGAACAAAAAGTTATTTTGGCCTTTGTGGATCATAAATATAAAAAAGTAAATCAGTCTACGTAGGCCTACTAAGATCTATGTCTTTCCGTGCCTAATAATAATTAGCTTTCTTCCCTATAAGGAAATTGCGAAAAGGTGTAATTTATGGTGCACAAATGCCTCTATTAATTTCTAGGCAAAAAGAACAAAAATTGTGGCTCTTTGAGGGGAAAGATAAAAAATGTGTTTACTTAAAGACATGTTATCCAATTTCATGATGGATGAAACTGATTAAGAGGACACTTTGATATTGTTGGCATTGTAAATATCCCCTAAGCTCTACAAAACGGTTTGGAAATATGAAATTATGAAACCCTAAAAACACGGGTTGAAAACGGGAAAACCAATTTTTACCCCATAAATCCCCTTTCCCATAGTCCAACATGCTGGTTCGCGAACTCGTTTGAATAATAAACCTAGGTTTACACGTTTTTTACCAAATTTCATCAAAATTGGATCATCTTTGCTCGAGTTATCGCGCTAAAGTCCTCACATAAATATATTATATATGAATTTGTCTTTGAACGAAGGGTGTTTTTGGCATCTGGGGACATCAAAACAAAAAAGCAAATCGGTCCCGGGTCTAGGCCATACTATGAGACCTACAGTAATAGCTTATTCCCTATAGGCTATGGGAAATTCGCTAAAAGCCAATAATTATCAGTGATTGCTGTATTTGAAATGGAGTTTCATGGAACCACTTGGAGTGTCCTAGAAACGAGACAAGCCTAATTGTTGTACTGTCTTTTTGCTTCATCGACTGTGTTTGATTTCTTATTTATTTACAGAATGGCTGAACAAAATTCACCTGAGCCACCGGAATTCATCCAGTTTCTATTTTCGGATAAACCAAAGTTTGACTGTTTTTTCATTGTTGGAGAAAAGAGTTTGGTCGAACCTGTAAGTACATAACATACTTGTGTTATGCTTGGAACATTAAAATTGAGAAGGCTTGATAGGCCTAGATAAAATAACCATAGATAAAACATACTCCCTTAGTAGATTTGTCATCCTTATGGAACAGCTGAAGCCAATTTTATTGTGAGTTCTGTACGTCACACTGTAGAGGTCATGTTATGTTAACAATTTGTTTCTTGTTATTTCAGTCATTTAAAAAGTTGTTTAACCAAATAAAATGATCTAATCATAAGCAATAACTGGTCTTCTTGTTATATAACCGAACAGTAAAGCACAAATCATGAAAATAACCCTAAAGTAATATAAAAATACCCCCGCCGCAGCAAACCTGCAGACTAAGCAAATTTCCATTTGCCTGATTTGATTTTCAATTAAATCTATTCAAATACCTAACATTAGGTTTAACGAGTACCTAGGTTTGCTGCATACAGGGTAATAAAGTGCGTTTTTTAGTAAAATATTAATAGCTTAGTATAAAATAAATAGATTGGCCAAGTTTGATCAAAATATATGCATAAAAAACAAACTACAACAGTTTACTTATTCTCCATAAGAATAACATGGGATTTTTTTATTTATAATTTTCTCCGTAACCAATAACCATACAAAAACACTTCGATATACAGAATTATTTGTTTTTTTAAGCTCTTCAAATTGGTCTAGAGAAAATTTGTGAAATTTCATGTTTTGAGGGTCTAAAATGAGAAAAACCAATTTTTACCCCATAAAACCCCGTTCCCATGGTCCGATCATGCTGGTTCACGAACTCGTTTGAATAAACGTAGGTTTACACGTTTGTACCAAATTGAACCGATATCGGATCATTTTTGCTCGAGTTATCGTGCTGACGGACACATATATATATATATTATTCTGGTTTTTATTATTTCGCTTATTAATTGAAAAAGTAGCCCTAAAAAGTGAACAGAACTATAAAAAAAATATATATATATATATGAATTTGAACGGATGGTGTTTTTGGCTTTTGGGACATCAAAATGAAAAAGTAAATCGGTCCTGGGACTAAGTCTTACCATGAGACCTACGGTAATAGCTTATTCCCTATAGGGAAATTCGCTAAAAATGTTGTATACACTAGCAATCAGTGTTGACGTACATAAACTAGACATGAAAAATAACCTTGAGAATTGACAATGCGATGAGAAGTCTACTTGTATTGCTTAGTCCATGCTTCAACTGAAATTGAGTAGGGCCTACCGCTTTTTCAAACTAACTTAACTGGTACCGAAAGTTGATCAGATTTACAGGAATTTTGAATGAGGAGACTTTGTTAATAATTGGTTGTGATCGTGGTTGATGCTTGTATATAGCTCCCATCGCAAAAGATGTTAGCATTGTGGTCGTGATAAAAACATTTTAAAATAGGCAACAACACAGACTAAAGATTCAACTAACCTTAATTTATTTATAATTTAAAATCTGGAATAATTCTGAAACCCCCTTAAGCTGTAATGTACAGATATTGAACTACATAGACAACATTTTCACTAGACTAGTGTCTTGTAGGGGCAATAGCCCCTATATATATTCTAGTAATTATGTTGTACAAATTATTAGTCTCATGGGTTATCCTACCTTAAGTTATCACTTAACATTTTTGTATATTATGATATGTAAAATAGTTATTACATACCTGCATAATGCATTTTGATGTCTGCTCTGTTTAAAATAAAAATTCCAAAGGACATGCGGTGTGTTTATAATATAAACTTTCTAATCATAATACAACTAAGGAACATTTTCCAATATCAATCTTCATGACTATTAATTAAATCTATCTAGATTTCTTTAAATATAGACAAATTAAAACACATAGAGATAATGTCATCATCCAAATTGTAAAATGCTGATTCTATAACAAAATCTCTCTGAAAACAACATTTGTTGTATAGTATCCATTTTGGTCGATTCCTTGGTCTTTATTTGGTTCCAGCCCTATTTTAACATCATCTGGCCTCTTTCCCCATCTAAAAGCAACATAAAGTTGACCATGGGTAAACACTGGGTTTTTAAATAAATGCCAACTTTTATGAAGGTTTGGCCTTGCGCCACAATTTCACCAAATCAAATTGCGCAATGCACCACCATGAAAGTACCCATCGTTCATTGGTCCTATGCTGTGCAATGGAATTTCATTTAAAAGTGGTAATCTATACAAAGGAATAAATTTATGTTCATCCGATACTCATTTATTCTTCTTCCATTAATATGGTGCCAAATCTGGCGCCTGCTGTTCTCATTTTGAGGAACAATACCTCTGCGTGGTGGTCTTCCAACATTATACATTATTACTGTGCAAATAAGAACAATCCATTGTAAAGTATTAAGTTTAAAAGTATAAAATTGTTTGTTCAAAAGATTTTATCTAATTTTCACTTTATGTTGTACTACTTCACTATCAATTTTACAATAACAAAATAATCCACATTCAGGTGTGGTTAAAATTTTTCCAATTTATATAATCACAGCTGTGTTTACACTAAATAGAAAGACATAAAATCAGATTCCCATGTTATTTAAATGTGAATTATTTTATTCCGTAAAAACCTTTTGGTGTATAATTAAGAATAATGAATAATTTTCCTCAAAACTTCATAACCAGACCTTTAAAATGAGACCTATCACAGCTTTCTACGCCCTCCCGTTCGCTCATAATTTCATTGTAAAATTTTGGGCTTACGGAATTAGATATATAGATTGGACTTGTTGAAATTAGATTAACTTGATGAGTAAAATGGATTTATAGGCTATTATTCAGATGAAGCTACAAATTGTCAGATGAATGGACTGTAAAAAAAATACAACCGACTTCAAATGCTCTAAAAAGAATGAAATAATTTCAATAAAGTAAACTTTTTTAGTCAAGCTCACGTATTTCAAGTCGGCGCGGCTCTATAATGATTTTTGATACAACATTTAAAGAGGATGTTTACATTGGATGTGACTATCTATATAAATAAAATTAGAGTTTTGTCTGTACATTGCTCAGAATCATAAATTTTTAGGTTATTTTAACGTTTTATACATTAAAGAAGCCGAAACAAGTCTCATCTAAATTTCTGTCTGTCTGTCTGTCTGTCTGTAACACTCAAGATGGCATTTTACGCAATCTTCTCCAGGAAAACGAGAGTACCTATCAAGATCCAAGTCATTTTAATGTATTCACTGGATTGGCGAGAGTGTCTTTAGCCATTAAAATATGGCCTCACTACTTTGTAAATAAAATTACGCACGTTCAAAAATGCAGTTTTGTGCAATCTTTGTCAAGTTTTCGTCCAATTTTTATCACATAATCATCTATGAAAAAACGAACAGCTGTTTGGATCAAGATTATTTTTTCTAGCTGTCACTGATATGTTTACAAATGTTGTTTACAAATACCGCAACTATTTCCTATCACGTTTTGAAGGCAAGTCCCGTCCAAGTTAGATTAAAAACGTCTTTCTTACATAAAGGATTTAATTAATCGCAAGTGGAATAATATAGTGTAACCGTCAATTAAATTAAATAACTAGGCATCAATTAGGTCAGGAACCAGAGATTCTCTGTGTATAAAATTGTTCTTGAGTTTTGATAACCAGAAAGAAGACATTGAATCAGTGTTGTATACGGCTGGGAAACTTAAATTTATTAATGATCGTTGCCAATAGCTTAGAAACAAGGTTCCACTCATTGACGGCGCTTCAATGGCGGTTGTGTAAAGTGTAAAGTAAAAAATCACAACTGCAGTGGGTGATTGTAACAGAGCTTTACGGATGATGCTAAACTCGATTTTCCAATGTGTCACTTTCTGTTCCTACCATTGACTATATATAGTCAATAGATCCTACTCACCGTGTGATGCAATCGCTGGACCATACAGCCAATAGGCCCATAGCCCATCTCTTGGGTACGTACGCCTACCCAATTATTTCAAACTTATAACAACCTTTTTGACGACGATCCTTGATACCGGTACTTTTCCCTAGAATACATGGCCTACCTACTTAAGAAATAAAATTACAAACGTCCAAAAACCTAACGTTGTGTGATTTTTGCATCGATCTCTATTATTACAATTGTAATAATAATAGAGATCGATGGATTTTTATCACATTTCCTTCTAGTGTTAATAGATGTACCAATCATTGTTTAGGGAATAAGTAATCCATTAAATACCGTAACAGAAAGTTGTTGTATAAGGTTATTTTTTTTTTTTTCAAACTGACACCGATAAGTTTACATTAAGAGTTGTTTACAAATAAAGCAATTAATGGGAAATAACTTTGATTGCCGATAACTTTTTATGAGAAAATCCAAAACCAAGAGATCAATAACCTCGGGACTTGATTAACGCATATAATTGGTCGGATGTACTATAGTTATAGTTCTTAACTGTAAACGTTGGTTTTTGGTAATGGTTCTTTTACTTTGAACCGTTGGTAGCAGCAAGAATCATTTTTACGTACCAACACTTCACTGTAATTTACAAATTAGTTATCGTTGGTGTTGCACCTTATTTATTACAGGCTATTCAATTTAATTGATGTTTTAACTGTATAAGTTTTGCTTTTTCTGTCTGGATTCCAAAATGTTAGTTTATGCTAAGAAAACGATAACGCATTTTAGTAAAACATTTTAACATTTATTCAGTAAACCATCATGAATTTTTCAAACGCTTTAAACGTTGTTTATGTATCAATAGTTCGTGGCCTATTTTGGTAATATTTATTATAAATTACCAATCTAAATCGTCTATAGTACTTCATTTCATATAGCAAGCCGATTCATGTAGCATTTCGACAGGATTTCGCGTCATCTTCGGTCCAAGCAAATATAAATTGTTATGATAAAATTTTATGACATTAACAAAGATTTCAAATACTAATTTTATATGTACTTTGTTATGCTTAAAGCGTAGCAAATTCCCTAATTAAGTTATGTATTTTTGTGGGTGTTGGTAACGCATTAATGTCCTTATTTCTCAGTGGTTCACGGTAAGGACAAGAACACCTTTATAATGAAAAAGTCAACCCGAATAAAGTGTTAAATTGTGAGGTTGAGGTAGTACCTTAAAAACTTTTTTAACCATTGTGGAAAGTAACTTTCAATTATAGGATCTTAGGGCTATGCCTTATAGATCTATAAAGCATTTTTTAGTTTAATCATTGCATTTAACATATAATGGACCAACAAGATCCGGGTGACATTTTATTGCGAAGCATTAGTTTTGGCTTGAAACTGTCAGATACTGTATTTGCGACGGTTTATATAGAATAGTTTTGTCAGCATATCTGAAAGTATGCAAACCAACTGCTGTGCTTAATATAAGAAGGTTTTAACTGACTACGATAAGATCCCCGTGCGTAGAACGGGCACACAGCTAGTCTATAACTAAAGGTGTTAATCTGCATGTCTTTTTCATAGGGTGTTATTTTATTACTGTAACCAAAGATCGGCAGATACAATCATAACTTTTTTGAAATAAGATAATAAATTATAATCTTATAGTGATATTAACGTGTATCTTTAAAAAGATTATAATGCATTTAAATAACTTGGAAAAGTAACGTTTTAATATTTAACTAGCTTCTTTTCCCAATCATAATATCAAAAATAAATCAGTTTCCTATTCATATAGAACATTTATGTGTGTTATTTTCATAGTGCATTCATTCTGATGTAAACATAAAATACAAGAAAATACTTCATTTATTGATTTTCAAAATACACTCTCAATCTTTTATTTTATTCATATTTGCAGTTAGAGCCGCGCCGACTTGAAATACATGAGCTTGACTAATAAAAAAGTTTACTTTATTGAAATTATTTCATTCTTTTTAGAGCGTTTGAAGTCGGTTGTATTTTTTTTACAAAAATAAATTATTTTATGATTTTTAGTGACTGTATAATTTGTTATATATACTGATTACTTGAGGTTTTTTCGATAAGCAAAACTGTTTGAACCAATCAAAAGTGCCACAGAACAATCATTATCTTAAAACTGATTGAGTCACCTGTTCAGGTTACATAATCAATGGGTATAAAAATTAACATTTTTAGATTTCCCCTAAAAAACAAAGAGTTGTCCATTATGTTAGGCCTAATGAAAAACTTAATGTCTTTCCTAGAGACATTGAAATGCCAGACATTATCTTTTTGTACTACTACATTATAAAAAGAAATACAGTAATGTCTCAAGCCTTTTGGAACAATATAAAAGTTATTCCTCAGCCACCAGCACTAAAAAATCTCTCAAAAGTAGAAAATTGGTTGTTATCACACATGTACCTTTGTAAAATATGTATATGAAAGACTGGTTCAGCTAAAAGTGGTGTAAGGGGTACCTAAGTGGTTTTGTTTGATCAAGATGTAGTGGAACTCGAAATTGCAAATCAGTTTCCTCTAGGACTTTACGAAGCAGGCATAATAGTATTGATATGATATAGTACATAGTTGGAGAATATTAATAAACATTCCACATCTGCAAATGCATGTTTAGTAAACATGCATTTGCAGATGTGGAATGATTGTTTAGTAATTAAAATATTTAACACTTTTAAGACGATTGACGATTATGCACTCACACTTCTTAGGTCCTATAAGGAATAATTGCATTTTATTTATATTTGGACCTCTTTTACAAATGCTTTGGTTTTCACAATACACCTTTATTTGTCAATATCATACAGCTATTCAGCAGGGTTTTTATAAGTCAGAATATTCAATACTCAAAACAGAATTATACACAAATCCGGTCAAACGTTGAAATACCTTTTTTATAGTAACCAACAAAACGAAATTCATTTTTTCAATGTAATTTATTTAGGCACCATGGCAAGAAATAGTTTATTAACCAATATGAAGCAACTGTTTCATAAAGAACTGTCTGTAGCTTCATTTAAATGGTTTCAACTAACAGCTGTAGGAATATTATTATTATTTATTGACTTCTCTGCACAAATATAAACAAAATAAATGTTGAATATTTGAGGTTTTCAGCATTTTTCACCGAAACAAATATTAGCCTACACTTAAACATAATGCTATATATGGTACCAAATAGAAACTCTCCTGGTTATTTTGGTGGTGGAACCACGCTGATCGGTAAAAGAATGGCAGAGAAATTGGTGAACATACATAGAAAAAAAACATCGCCACAGACAAATTGAGAACCTCCTCCTTTTGTTGGTAGTGGGGAAGTCGGTTAAAAATGGATTTATAGGCTATTCCTCAGATGAAGCTACAAATGTTCAGATGAATGGACTGGCAGAAAAAGTGTTAAACACATGTTACAGTATAGTTTGATTGCAGGAGAGGATTGGAGCAGTGAAGCTAATGTTAATGGCTCACAGTCCTGTGTTCAGGTTAGAACTGGAGGATAGTGGTCTGAGAGAGAAGAATGATGTTCCCTTAAAAGACATGTACCCTGACACCTTCAGAAACGTACTCAAGTAAGTAAAATGTTCTTTTGTATCTCCCAACTCTAATTTATTTTAGTGTATTCTAATTGTCTTTACATTCAAGGTTGATTGATTATAACACTTCTTATAAGTGTTTAGAAGAATGGCCTTGGATTTTCCATTAGAGTTAAATAACATTTAATTTATTTTCACTTAACAATGGTACTTAATGCCATGAGTTATCAAGAGTCCATTCCGTAATGTTCCATAGGTTTGTTAGGGACATAAGTAAGAAAAAAATTCCCTCACATAGAAGTTGGAGGGGAGCGCAATATCCCTCTGGCCCATAGTGTGTCACAATCAAATCGCAGTAATGTCCAAAACTAAATTACAAATTAAACTTAACTTAATATTTATTTTTTAAATATTCTAAATTATTTCAGGTATATGTACGGGTATGATATCATTGGAGATTTGGAATTTAATGAGGCGGACAACATGTTCTATGTTGCTGAGAAGTATATGATGCCCAGACTGAAGAATAAGTTGGCTCTGAGGTTGACGACACTTCTGACCCCAGAAAACGTCTGCTCACTGTTGAATAACCCAGCGTGTCGAGATCAACTTGAGCTCAACTCTCACATCACTCAGGTAATAAGTAGACAAATAGTTGGGTTTTGCAGGTTACACTCTGGTGTCGCAGACCTCATGTCTACACTTTTTGTTTCCAAGCACGTTATACCTGAAACCAACCAGTGTTAGCTAATCAGAGCTCAATCTCTTTGACAGATGTTGAAGACATCATCTCTGTATCGGACATGTGTTCCACAAGGCCAGTTTGGTGCGACATGTCATCCCCCAAGCAACGTCGTTAGTCAGCTGAGCAGACTACAAATTTTTGAGTGGTTTATTGAGCATAGTGTATTGTTTCATTCTTAAATATTCATGAAACTTTTGTGGCCGTTAGTTCAGAAGATGGGTTGTCACAAACAAACTTGATAATTCCCTGCTTGCTTTCCAGTACAGGTTAATTTAAACCCCTCCTATTCTTCTAGTTTTAAATTCACATTTAGACCCTATACACAATCTGCATTGTATTTTGATAAGTGCAAATAACAACAATAATTACTCAACTCCTGATGACATTTTGTACTCAATTTACTACAGTGCATAAGGAGTAATGTCTCAAACAAAAGGCAGGCCTAAAATACGCCAGAGACATGCACACCACATTCAATACTTGATCCATCATATGAAACAAGACGTAATGTATGAACAACCAAGGTACCAGCTTGTCACCCACCTTTAGAATGTAAGCAAAAATATTTTACCAAGTCTGCTCTTTAGTGAACAACCTATGAAATTCAAAACTGCGACATTTTCTTTACAATTTTTTTCAGATCCTGCGATATGAGACGGACAAAGTGCTGGCAAGTCCACAGTTCTTGGAGGTCTGTGCAGAAGGATTCATCACAATGTTGGAGCAGGATGGACTCACAGTCGCAGAGATTGAGTTGTGGAGAGCTGCTGTAAAGTGGGCCAAACACAAAGGTGGGCCAAATACATGTTATTTTCACTTGCCACTTTTATATATCTACACAAGATTATTTTAGAATTATGACCCTAAAGTAAAATACCCCCGCCGCAGCAAACCTGCAGATTAAGCGAATTTCCATTTCCCTGAATGGTTTTACACTAAAATGTCTCTTTAAAAATATCACATTTATTCCCTATTTAAATAGAATCAGTTTAAAACATACTTAGGTTTGCTGCAACAGGGAGGGTAAAAGTGTTTTTTATGTAAAATGTTAATAGTTAGTAAGAAATAAAAACATTTTCTAAATTTGGGCAAAATATGTTTATAAACAAGCAAACTACAACAGTTTACTTATTCTCCATAAGAATAACATGGGAATTTTAAATTTACAATTTTTTTGAATTTTCTCCGTAACCATTAGGCGCATTATAACGCTTCAATATACTAAATTATTTGTTTTTTTAAGCTCTACAAAATAGTTTCGAAAGAAATTGCAAAATTTTATGTTTTTTGGGTCAAAAATGGGAAAAACCCATTTTTACCCCATTAAAGCCCCCATAAATTCCCGTTCCCATGGTCCGATCATGCTGGTTCGCGAACTCGTTCGAATAAACGTAGGTTTACATGTTTGTACCAAATTTCATCAAAATCGGATCATTTTTGCTCGAGTTATCGTGCTAACGGACACATATATATATATATAAATATATATATGAATTTGAACGGGTGGTGTTTTTGACCTCTAGGGACCTCAAAACGAAAAAAAAAATCGGTCCCTTGTCCAGGTCTTACCGTGAGTACTACGGTAATAGCTTATTCCCTATATGGGAAATTCGCTAAAAACACCAACATTGTAATTTGGTGTAATGAGGGAAGATCACAATGTTCCGTGTAAGGGAAGGTGTTGATTTCACCATAAGATATTGTTACTGTATCCTCATTGTCATTATAAGAAATTTTTACTACACTACTCTAAAATGACCTGTTTTCGTTACATGTTAATCACCTGCGAAAATTCATCATTACATTGTTTACTATGACAAAAGAATGTTTTTTTTTACTTTACAATCTGTTCTATGACAAATATGAACAATAAGTAAATATTATGAAACAAGTAACGTTCGGGATACTATAAAATAGCTGCTAATCACTGTCAACATCAATTATTTGGAGACGAGACGAAACACTTACAATAATCAAAAGGACAGATCCGGAATTGAATTTCTTTTAAGTCTGTAAATTGTGTCAGTGTTGAAGACCAAGTTCAATGCCAAATGATTTGGATGAGATTCTAATTTTGAAATATATTTCTCACTTAACTTCGTTATTTCTTCTTTGATTGTAGGTACCATAAGGTCTTCATGCAGTGTTCTGTTACTTACGTATCAAAGCGCGTTGGTTATCGTCCTCAGTAATTTGGATTGGTATCGTTGGATTAGGCCTATATCTATATTTGACGCACTCGCCGATCCCCTAAGTTGCACTCCGTATGTCCATATCGGTTTCAATATTGTTTTATACAGTAATAATTTATTTTCCAGACTGAGTTTTTATTTCTGTCCAAAGAGCCAATTTAACTGGTTTCTTTTTAAATTTAATTGCTGACGTTTTCTCCAAATATGAGTTTTCCATGTTAGCTTTGAATCTAAATGGATACTTAAGTATTTAACCTCAGTTATTTCAGGATGTTGCATATTGTTTATTCTGACAGGAGGACAAGCATTTTGATTTGAGTAAAAGAAAGGTGAACAGATTTAGTTTCATTAATAATGAAATGAATTAATAATGAATGTCCATGTGTTAAACCAATCAGTTATTATATTCAGGGTTTGCTGTAAATTTTGAGAAGCTTGAATTGGATCATGACGAACAGATAAAATTGCAGTTTCATCCGCAAATGTAGCAATTTCTACAAACTCATTTTCATCATTCGAAAATGCATCATTACATTGTTTACTACGGCAAAAGAATGTTTAGTTTACTATACGAAAGTAATGTTTACTATCTTTTTTGGATTTTGCTGACGTAAACAAACAAAGATTTGTTATTGTTTTGTCAACTCTAGTTTAATTTTCAACAACTCAAACTGTACAACCAAAGTAAATATTAACTTGAAATTGAAGTTATAACCTGAAAATGCTACGAGTTTTGTAATGTTCAAGAAAGTAATTAGGCCTAGTCTTTGTAGTAACAAAAAGTAACGTTCAAAACACAAGTGAAAGTGGGTCTATTTTATTCTCGACCATTTAAAGTGCTCAATAAATCTTGCACTTCAAACATGGCCTCAGAAATTTAATGACTCACTTTCTACTCTTGCTATAAAGTATACTAATGTTATTCGATGCACTGGATTGGTTGGTGCTTTAGGATGGATGGTTGGTAGTGTTAGTAATATCAATAATTGGGTCATAATTAATTATCAATGTTAACCAGGGTGTCTAGTAGTCGGGAAAAACGGGAAATTCAGGAATTGGTATTGAATTTCAAAATGGTCTTGACAAGTCGGAATTTAGTCTTTATTTTTGATATCAAAGTCGGGAATTTCCATGATTTTGTTTCCGTGATCACGGACGACGACAATAACGTTTCTAAGACCGATTTTTACCTTAATTGAAAAACACCCCATTATCTTAATAATACTTTATGACATAAAGACAGTGGTTGGTGTAGTATAACCAAATTATTTAGAAAATTTGGTTGAACTATAAAAATATTGGTAAGTTACCGGTATCAGGAATTGAGAATCGATACATTTTGGTATCAACACATTACTAATTGTTGAAAAACTAGTCTTAAAAAAATCTGGAATTAGTCTTGAAAATTCTGGAATTAGTCTTGAGTTTTAAAATAGAAATAAACTAGACACCCTGGTAACATTAATGTAGAAATGTGGCATGTTCTCTCTTCTACAGTGCTCATTTTGTGTAGCATTGTATAGTGGTTGTATGGGAGTTTAATATAATAATAGAATGTATATTTTGGGATTGAGATTTGCAACAGATTAGTATAGAACCTACATGCATATTTTTATTGTTCAACATTTGTACCAGTAAATAACCAAAAAGTTTTCTTTGAGGGGATAGCAGGCTTACCTGAATAGAAAAGAGTCATTACTGGCACAAACAAACAATAAAATTACACTATAGTCAACATTCACAGTTCCAGCAGGGGGGATTGGAGATGGACCCCCTCCGAAATATCAGGTGTACCCCTCTCCTTGCATAATGTACTAAGCAATATTTTAGTAGGCTTAGAATTGTTCTCCAAAATTAAATATGCCACTTACCAAATGATTGTGAAATATTCTTTTACAGTGTAAATTTGGTATTTTTATTTTGTCAAGATTGACTCTTTTCGATTTAGATAAGCCTAGTATCCCCACAAATATCCCTAGAACATGGGATTGTGTTGTATTATCACTAACAACAAATAACTGTTACAGTTGACAGTGAAGATGGGCAAGTATTGAGACAACAGCTTTCTGGAATCTCAGAACATTTGAGGATTTGCACTTTGAATTATGAACAGTTCTGGAATGAAGTGACTCCTACAAAAATACTGAACAATAACGAATTGCTACTCGTGGCAGAATCTATTGGGAAGAAGGAAAAGATAGAAGAAACGATCATGTTCAACAATAAGTTGGAACCCAGGAAAAGATTGTGCAAGGATATAAGACAGTGCAAACGATTTAAGTCAGACTCTAGTGTACAGGAACTCAAACTGACCAACCTTTCAGGAGAAGAGTGTAATAGTCAATGTAACTTTGACATTCGCACCAAACAGTCTGCTGTAGAGCTGTTGCCATTGGTTTGTATGACACCAAAACGAGAGAGAATGGATCCTCCAGGCTGGCTATGGCGTGTCAATGGGACAGTCAAAATAAGAAAGTATACAGGTCCAGATTCATACCATATTACTGACCCTCTTACTAAGTTCACTTTCTGCAAGGAAGTAGAGTATGGCCAAAAATTTGAGGTTCCATTCACTAATGATGGGTATAATGTGGTCTTGTTACCGAACAGTAAGTATCAAATTAATGTAAGCTTTGCACAAAACGTTCTACTCTCAAAGTATGAGTGGTATCCAATCCATGAGAATGAACATTTGCTGCTTGAATGCAAGGATCGTTTGAAGTTTTTTTGTTCACAAAGCCTGTACTATAGACTGGAAGATAATTGAGGATTGGCAATGTTCTTAGTGACGTACTCAGCTATAATCAGCAGTCACTTTCCTACATCAAACATTCCAATGACCTTTATTATTTTATGATATTGTACAATGTTAAAGTTGTAATTAAATGCTTTGCCTTTACATAGTACCAATTTAATATGTTTTATTTGTTTCTTTCCTTCAATCTAACAAAAATACGAGTCTTGCTGATTCAAATTTGATTGGGACCAGACTGTGTTTGGATCAGTTAGAAAATGCAATAAAGTTGCATATAAAAATGTAGTTTTATGATTGTAGAAGGCCATGTATTCCTCTCTCGATCACAATATTTTGATCATTTTCTGAAATCACGTTTATGCTAATTGACAACCTTAAAGAAAACTAACTAAACACAGTTAACAAAAAAACGTACACAAATGCACAGCAATGCCCCATTGGCAGTCGTTCCAAATTTCTTGGTTACATACCAAATTCACACATAATTGCAGGTTATCCGTTACTGTGGATTAGTAGTGTGGTTAGTATTTGAGAATATTTTTAATTCTACTGAACAACCTTTTCCTCAACTGGTGGTTGGACTAGCTGGAAATTCATCTCAATGTGCAAACTAAATGTATCAACATCAACTAATGTATTGCTATTCTGTCTAGTAGTGTTGATTTTATTACTAAACTGTTGTAACATTTTCAATCTGTGATTGTCCTAATTACAGTGTATATATTTTTACTAAGTTATTTTAATATATCAGTAGATTATTTAGATTGCAGACTTTAAAGACTTCTAATTACATTTCCGATTAGGTAATTCAAAAAATATTGTTATGTATAAATGGTTGATCATATTAATTTAAAAGAGGTGTGTCATGTAAATATATAAAATGCCAACTATTAGAGTACTGTGTTAAGAACATATTCAAGTATTAAAGGAGTATAAAATGTAATTGGTTTTTTTTTTATTTAACAATACATTCAACCGAATACAATTTTCACTCTGTGAGGAGGTTGTTTATAACACTGATTTCAAATTCAAGTGATGCTTGTGTAATGCAATTTACAGAGTAATTGAGTAATTTTATTACATTTTGGCTTGTGACATGACAATTTTGGAACGTTTCTAATAACAAATAACTAAAGAATACTTAACTGTTAATTCTTAGTGAATTTATCGAATTTATTTAGTTAATTATATTTATATTAGTGCACACTTTTGAGGTTAGGTGCACTGACGGTACCACGTCTCGGTGACATGACCCAGGAAGAAGTTGTTGCTCCAAGCAAAACAAGTACCTTTAACTCTTTTCCACAGTATCAGACATAATGTTGGATAAGGACGAATTAACAAAAAACTACTACAGCATTACTGCAATTTTTTATTGTGAAATAGCTCAATTAACAGAAGAATTTAATGTGAGTATTTAACAGTGAAGAACAGTAGAATGGGATGAGCAGGGCTGTATTTAAAATCTATGAGGCCCCCAGCAGATCTCACCAGAGAGGCACCTCTATGTTCTGATTCTTCGAAGGTTGGAACCTAAGGGATTAGAAATGCATGTGGTATTGCTTCAACTCGATGAATTTACCTTTTGTTTCCAATAATCGGATCAGCAAAAAGACCTAGGAAACTAACTAATAAAAGTCTATTAATTTTTTAATAATATTAGGGGTCTTAGGTCAGGACCAGACATTTTTATTTCTTTAGGGTTGAGTAAAAAATATTTTGAACTTTGGGTATCGGATCAAAATTGGATCTTGGATCACTAAGTCATTTAAGTTTTACACCTCTACACATTTATGCCAAAATTTATCATAAAATGGACCAAAATTACATGAGTTATCATACAAATTTGAACGAAAAGTGTTTTTGGCCTCTGGGGACATCAAAATATTAAAAGTAAATCGGTCAAGAGTCGTCTAGATCTTTCAGTGCCGCCTTCGGTAATAGCTTCTTCCCTAAAAAAAATTCGCTAAAAGTTCTTCACACGGTCTACACAAACGACTTATACGTTTTGCTTCCTCAACAGGTGGACCTACAGGCTTAGGTGGTCAGAGTAAAAAACTCAAGATTCATGAGGCATGAGGACGAAAAATTGAATAGCTTTTTTTGTATTCAAGGTCTTTTATACGATAAGGCTAACTTGGTTTTAAGGGATGATCACAAAAAAGTGGAGACTTGCTCTAGTACTGTCATTCCTGGAAGACAACACAAAAAAGGAAACCAAAGTTAAGTTATTTTTGAAGTCAATGCATGACTGCTCACTTTACTCACTATTCCTTTGTCGTAAAAATCCCAAACCTGATGATATTTATATCCAAAAAAGTGTGAGATTTGGGCTGTGCGAAGTTCAGGGCAGTACACTTCTTGGACATCTCTGTCCAGCACCTATAGGGGGTTGAGAATGCACTGTAAGTGTAACTCTTTTTGACTTTTGATTGTTGTTGGGGGAATCTTGGAGATGACAAAAACCGATATTGTCGCCCTCCCAGCAGGGGCACAACTTGGGGGGAGGGGGAAAGTAGTGCCGAGGGGTGTTATAGAACATCGCTCATATCTCATGAACTATAGTTCTTTTCTTTTTGTTCTTTGGTCAACATATTGTTTACAACTTTGGTCTCATATCCATTATACCGGTACTTAGCCACGTCTTTTGTAGTTAAGCTCTTTATTATAATTTTCTTGGGACAGTGAGGTATTATGAGGCGATAAATCATTGAATTAAAAGCTGATCTTTTCTGTTCTGGGGGGTGATGAAAATCTTGAGTGATGAACCTATTGGTGTGGGTTGGTTTTACTCCGTAGGATTAGTACATCTAGAAATGATATCTTCTTTTCATTTTCAACCTCATAGGCCTGTGTGAATTTTATTGACGGATAAAAAAAATTCAATTTGTTGACAAAGTCATTTAGGTTTTCTTTCTGATAATAAAACTGCAAATATCTTGTCGTCTACGTACCTTAACCAGGTTCATGGAAAATATGCCATTACTTCTTTTGCTTTTGATTCAAAATGACTCATAAATATATTTGCTATAAAAACATATAGTGGATTTCCCATAGCTGTTCCTTCAGTTTGGGTATAAAAATTATTATTATATTCAACTGTGTTTTGGGACATACATAGATTTGTCAAAATTACATATTCATTAATTATTTCTTTTGGTAGATTTAATGAAATGAGCCATTTTCTTAACAAGTGTCTCGTAATTGGAATCGGGACACTTGGGTAAATGGATACAACATCAAAATAGACTAGATATTCATCTTTTTGAACTTCAAATCTTTAATTTTATCTATTAACTCGTATCTAGCTGTTTTTTATAGCAAAAGACGTGAATGATTCAAATTTTTGTAGCTTTTCTACTAACCATTTAGAGAGCTAGATAAGTTGTAAAAGAAATGTAAAAACTAGATTTAATGAACACACTTCTCACATTACAAACAACAGACCTGAAAAATCTGCAATAGCAAAACATTGTTTAGAAATGGACCACACAATATCAATCAAAAATACTAAATTACTAAAAATGTAACAAAATCCAACGAACTAAATGCATGGGAATCATTATTTATAAATAAAAATGGACAATTAAGTAAATAATGATAATGGTCCAATTCAAAATTTAACATTACTAATTTCTAAATATACAAAATTATAAGTTAATTATTCTACTTTATATTTAATTTTTATACATATATAATTTATTTTTGTAATTTTAGCTAAATGTACTATACCAGAATTATTTTTATTTTCAACTACCCATATGTTACATTCTTTAACATTTATCACTGTATTTTTAAACTTAAACAATATAGCCTTCAGTTTTGTTTTGTGATGACAAGCGCTAGCGGCTAGTCCATGCCATCGATCTCTATTATTATGTTGTAATAATAGAGATCGATGGTCCCTGCCCACCAAATCTGTTCGGGAGCGAAACTTCTACCCTCCCTCCAGCTGAATTTTTATTCCAGGATTAGTTTTGCCAACAGTGTCATTTGGAGGCTTCTGATTAACTTTTAGGTTTAGGCATACTAATTGAAAAATTAGTTTTGTTCATAAAATAAAACTATAAATGCCTCAAATTCAATTTTATAGTTTTTTTTATGAAATTAAACTGTCATAACCTAACCAAACCAACCAAACGTGCTGATAATGAAAAAATCCAATGAAGGTTTATTAATCGAACAAATAGTTCAGTTCGTAATAAAACTATAAATGGCTCAAATTTAATTTTATAATGTTTTAATTATGAAATTAAACTGTCATAACCTAACCAAACCAACCAAACTTGCTGATAATGAAAAAACCCCAGACAAAAATATAGTGCCTCATGTGAGATTCGAACCTGACTCCTTCAGATTATCAGCCCGACACTCAATCCACTATACCACCGAGGCCGATGGCATCATGCCATGCCGTATCGTTGCAGTAATGGTGTTCGTGTTCCCTCAGCCAATCAGAACAGCTGGAGGGTAGAAGTTTCGCTCCCGAACAGATTTTGGTGGGCAGGGACTAGCCGCTAATTTTGTACCCGTGTCTGATGATGCCAGCTTAGCTGGCAAAAGGCCTCATAAAATTAAAAATTCTTATAATATTGGTGAAGTTTTTATTTCAAATTTATATTAATTCCAATATATTACCAGTTCTTTTTATATATATGTGTAAAGATATACTGGCAGCAATGACAAATATAATCATGAACAATCTAATTCGGCTGAGAGGAAAATATTTGTAGTAAACACTAAATAATATAGCCTTTGAAAAATGATAAAATAGTGAGTATTTCCATTAGTTACATAATCTTTGATTTGACGCTTCACTCATCGGAAATTGTGACTGTTATTTGTTTTTAAATAACTCCAGAAAAAATACTTTGGTTTAATGAGCACCAGAGCACCGTTTAACATTTAACAAACTACTTTGTTCCTATCGAATATTAGTTCTAATGAATGAGTTATAATGAGGACGAGGACTGAGGAGGAGTTAACGAGTTAAGGCTTGGGATTTGAAGAAGAAGAATCCGCACCGAACCGATGTACCGTTTCGATTCCAATCCCGCTGTCCCACGGCGCGGTGGTGGGGGGTCGGGGTCCTCCTTGAACGGTCTCGTAAATATCAATAACTTAGTATCAAATAACTCATTTTTCAAATTTTCAT